CCCACCCAGCCCCCCGCCCCTCATCTGCTCAGCACCTACTGAGAGCAGCGCACTGTAGACATTTGGGTAGCAGTGCTGAGCAGGATGAGGTCCTGGTCTCGTGAACACAGATGCAAGCGTATGTTATGGCTTTAATACTGTCCCCCCAGACAGCATGTCCACGTCCTAACCCCGCGTACCTAGGGATGTGCCCTTATTTGGAAATAGGATCTTTTGTAGATGCGATCAAGTGACGAAGAGGCCATACTGAAGTAGCTGGGCCCTGATCCAATGACCGGTGTCCTTCCAAGAAGCGGGTTTGGACACAGACACACAGGGGAGGGGACACGCTGCGATGTCTACAAGACGTAGGACGCAGGGCATGCCAGCAACGCCAGGAGGGGAGAGGCAGGACCTCCCTTGGAGGCTTCAGGGGGACGGCTTGAGTTCAGCCAGCTGGTCTCCAGGACCAAGAGAGAGAAGAAATTCCTGTTGTTTTCAGTCGTACGGTCTGTGCTCATTTGCTGCGACAGCCACAGGAAATGCATATAATGTATAATTTCCTATCAAGTAATGATATGAAAGCAGGCAGAGCAGGACGCGGGCATCGGCAGCCTGCTTGAGGGAACATCGGGATGGAATGACACTGGCCACGTGAGGACGGGGCGGGGGTCGGTGCTTCTGCCCAGGGAAGAGCCCCCCATGTGGGCGGGGCCTGGCGTGGTCACCAGAGACCAGCAGAGGGGCCCCGAGCCTGAGGGGGCGGGGGGAGAGGTGAGGTGGGGGGGCGCATGGACCAAGGCCAGTCTATGAAGACTAGGACTGTGTGTCACCCTGGGACAATCTAGAAGCGCAGGCCTGCCTCGCCCAGAGCAAAGGGCGATGCCAGCGGGGGCGTGGGTGGGGCCAGACTTCAGGTAGAGGATGGCTAGGCCTACAGGTGGGCACAGGTAGGCGGGGGCTGCTGCCCAGGGAGGGGCAGGTTCCCTGGGGGTGGGGTGGGCAGGGAACGATTTCACACCAGGGTTGAGGCAGGGTCTTGTTTCTTGTTATCTCTACTTGTGGAGGTTTGTGTATCTACAACATATCCTTCCACAAATATGTAAACCACAGAAGGCAAAGGGGTCCACACACTGCCAACAACATCACAGGGTCCAGAGGTCGTCCCATGAGTGACCCTCACAGACAGTCCATACCCTGGCCTGTGTTCCCAGGTCAGAGGGACTTACTCCCAGGGATCTCACACAGGTTTGCCAACGGCCAAGTGCAGGGCAAACGGCCGGAGCCAGGACCTTCCTCGGGCTCCTGGGAGGGTGCACAGTTCTCAGAGGGGTCTAACGCAGCCACGCCAAGGGCTCTGGAAATGCGCCACTTAGAACACGGCACACCTTTTACGAGCATGGGTTCAATTCAACCACGGGAGGACATGGGTATTTACAACGCGTCTCCTTGCGTCCTAGCAACACGGGGCTTCAGGTTGTGCAGGGCGCAGGGCTGACTGACAGGCTGCAGCAGCCCATCTAGCTGGGCTTTCTATTCGGGCTAACAGGAATTCATGCAAAGGAGAGGAACACAACGGCTACATTGTACAGCAGTAAATGCCGCAACAAAACAGGAGCCCCTCTGAATACTAACGTCCCCATCACAGCGGGCCCTTGTGTCCCTGAATGCAGCTATTTGTGAGGCGCAGAGAAGGCCGCTGTGTTCGGAAAGCAGCTTCTCCCAGCGTCCAGGGAGGACGGGAGCGGCCGGAATCCGTGGACAGGCAGCATTTTTGGGAGGACAAGCGCGGCTTCGGTGCGTCAGTCATATAGGCTTTAACCACATCGAGGCCCAGAGCCTGCTGGTTTCGGGGACTCTGGTTCTGGGGCATTTGGTACCCAGTGTGCGAGGCGTGGCCCTGGCTCTGCACCACACACGCTGATAACACTCTCACTGTTCAAGCTCTACAGGGTCTGGTGAGAAAATTCTGTGAAAACCAAAAAGCACCTCAGTCTGAGTGCTAGGATGAGCCCCAGAAAACCTCCGTGGGAACTGCGCCGGCCTGAAGGTGGTGACATTAAAATCACAGAATGGCTTCCTGGAGCAGAGATGACGCCACTCACTCACCCGCGGGTGCTTTCTGGAGCAGAGAGACACCCACCAAACAGGGTGGTGACATCGGGGGACAGTGTTGACTATTTAAAGAAACTGACAGCTGTCCTGAGTGAGGAGGCAGCACTGGGGGGCCACGGAGCCCCCTGCTGCCTGTGTCCGGCTGCTCCCACCGACTTGGTCCTGCGCAGGCAGGCGCCCCGGGTCCTGTGGCTTCTCCCTCTGGAGTATTTTCCCAGCTGACTCAGCCACTGTCTTCCCTTTGCTTTCCCTGGCCGCCCTGTGCTGGGTTTGTCACAGCATCATGGCTCGTCCACTCTTCAGCTCTGTCTCGGGGCTCCGCCACGCACACAGCTGCGGGGTGGCCCATGAGATCAGGTTCCCCAGTACAAGACCCTGAGGTCATGCCCCTGAGTGACCCTCCTGGTCACAGCACCAGGACAAACCTGGCCGCCTGCTTTTCCTTTGCTCTGCTCTGCGTCCCAGCACCGTGCCCGGCTCCGTGTCCCTGGGTCTCTCCTTCTATATAGAAACCGCAGACTCTTTGTGTCCCCGGTCTAGATCCTCAACTGGCCTTCTCTGGTTCTAACTGGTTTTAACTGCAACTAGGTTTTCCTCTCGGGTAAAATTTAACTGCAGGCAACTGGTGGCTGGGACATTTCTGGATCACAGCTGCTGAGCAGAGAGGCCTGACCAGGAGTTTTATAGAGAGCCCCATGCTCACCTAAGAGCTCAGCCAGGGCACCCCCCTGCCAGCAACAGAGACGCTGGGTGCTCAGGGCACGTCCGGGCTGAGCTCTGCAGGCAGGAGGGGCTGTCCTGTGGCACGTCCCCGTGCCCTGCTTACCCGACCATGTCACCATGGACTCACACTTCACGATGCCGGCTGTCCTGGATAGAATGCATTAACGACTATCGAACGCCAAAGAGGCTGCGTTCGGGAATGCTGAAGACGACACTGCCATCTGACAGCCACAGTGTCACCCTGGAACAATCTAGAAGCTCAGAGCGCAATAACTCTGTGCTATACTCAGAAAGTGACACATATCAAATATTCATCCAAGTGTGTCTCAAATAGAATTGTGATGCTGAAGTGAATCTTGTCCTATGTTTAATTCTTCTTCTTCTTCTAGGGCACATATTTTATGATATATTCCATTGGGCCCATGGAAATCCTATTCCATGAATAACTGTCATCAAACCACCCGTGTGTGTGTGTCCACATGAGAAAACATACAGATGCCCCGACACCCCTACCCAATAAACCAGAATGATGGGGAGCGTGCCCAGCTCCGCTCTTTCTAATGGGCCGCAGTGCTGTGGGTCGTTCTCCAGAGCTGAGGTTCGCCCTCCCGACTTCAGCATCGCCTGTGGTCAGCGACCCCCATGGTCAGCGACACCGGCCATGGCCACGCACACCGCTCACGACACATGGCGATTTTCAGGGAAGTGCAGTTTCAAAGGTGCAGTTTCTGCCCTTGAGCCCGTCGGAGCGTGTGGGGCTGCTCGACGCCTGGGGATCCCACCTCGATGGTGGCCCTGTGCCGGGAGGCCTCTTATCACTCCTCTTCCGGCAACAACACCTGCTGTCACTGTTGGTACTTGGCCTCAGTGCTGCCACACCTCTGGGCGGGCCTGGGAGGTGCTGTCTGCCCCGTGGGGTCTCCCCCCCCCCCTCATTCTGCCTATAGGGGAGAGACCACTGCGGGCATGGCGGCTTTCCTTCTAAGTTTGCACCTTTCTCTGAGGCCAGGGGTCCTCGGGCCAACAGGAACAGAAAGCACTTGGTTATTCCGAGCGTGACGATTGTCACCAAGCCAGGGCGACAGACACGTAATACGGACATCGCCTCCGACGGCTCGTCACTGTTAAACTGATACCGACAAGGCGGAGAGGGCAGGGCCCTTCTTCTCACCACAACTCATTCCATTTTTTCTCCTATGATTAGAGGTCTCGAAACGTTAGATGTAAGGGGTCACCCAACTCTAATTTCGCTAGGGAAGTTTAATAAAATTTCATATTCATGGCCGATCAGATCTTTAATGAGACTGGAAA